GGAAAGGAAAGGAAAGGAAAGGAAAGGAAAGGAAAGGAAAGGAAAGGAAAGGAAAGGAAAGGAAAGGAAAGGAAAGGAAAGGAAAGGAAAATATATGTGCATCTATTTCCCCCCCCTTATTCCTATTTATAATAAAGCTGCTTGGGCACCTTTGAATAACACATTATTTCCAGACACTTTGAGACATTGGCTCTCAGGTAGTTGTGTTTGGACTCACAAAACTTCAGGGCTGGGGGAAAAGCCCTGTTGCAAAAGACACAATCAGTTTTTGATCACTGCCCTGGAGAAACATCACCATAATACAGCAGAACAAAAAGAATTAAAGATAAAGAAGATACTACTGTTATCTCTACTACTGCAACATTACTCCTAACCTAACAAGGTCCAATCATTCAATTACTTTTGGCTTTTGAATATATAAAACATCTCATTGTATATTACCTAATCTGTAAGAATTGCCTAATTGTTACTAGTACTAAAAGGAGATGTTTCTATGCAAACTCAGCAGATTACTTCTGATTTTTAGTACTTTTTAAAAGTGGCACTGGCAGCATGGCCTGTTAAGTTTTCCAGAAACAGCCCATTGCAAAATCTTTCCAGTTGATTATTAATTTTACCAACTGACTTTGGGTGACATTTTTCCTACTGTCTGTCCTACAGTAATTCATGTTTTCATTTTTGTTGGAAAAAAAAAATTAGGAGGCTTCTGTCATCTCCAAAAATGGAAAATTATACCTATCATGCATTTCTATATTACATATACACTGTATTACATATAGATATGTGTGTGCACATATATAGATTGTACACGTAACTCACATATGCATATGATCCTATATAATCTATGCAAACAATTGTGATCAACTATGCTTTAATAACCTCTTTTCTCCAGTAACTTGGATCTGGTTTGGGGGATTAGGCATGGAAAGGCACTTGTGCAAGACAGGGACCTCTTCCAAGTGTGAAGAAATCTATTTGAGGGACAGATCTGTTATTCCTTCAATTGAATTCTGGCCACCACAGGCACCCTCTCCCCGAGTACTAGAGTAGGTGAAACAAGACATCTCACTGTTCCTCTCTAGACTGAAATTTGGAAGCTGGAATGGGGAAAGATAGCATCTATCTGCTTTGCTCTGCTGGCTGTACTGACGAATATAGCTGTTTGTAACATAGTTTTGACAAAAGCCCTAAAGCTCAGAAATCTGACATCTGTATTATTAACATACCATTTGTCATCTTTCTTGAGAGACAGAAGCAAACTGCACTATAAGCATGGTAAATGTTTGGATTTATAGTGTGTAACATTACAGTGTGTAATATTATATAGTGTAACAATATAGTGTATTTATAGTGTATAACATTATAATATTAAAAGACGTTATAATGCAGAAGTATTTCATCCACAGAGACAACATCTCTAAATCTCTGGAACAGAGAGGGAGAGCAATTTAGATCAGATGCCTGATTTGTGGGCAACTAAAATTAAGTCAAATTACTCTCATCCTACTGGCTCAGCATCGATAGAGAAATAGGTTATTTTTGACTTTTTCCATTTCTCACTGGTGAAAAGAGAAGAGAATCTGATTCTTACCTTCTGGAAAACACATATCTGGGTTCTTAAAGTCTTCAGCAAACTCTGGAATCTGCCTCAAAAGATCCTCAGGATTTGTCAAATCCACTGTGCTGCCTTCAGAAGAGCTGACATTGTCGAACTGTCAAACAAAGTAAAATCAGGCATTGATTCTTCCTACATTCAGCTCCAATTGAATAAATCTGTCCTTGAGAAATTACAATTAAAAAAAAAAATAAAAAATACCTTGGCTATGTACTAATATTTGAGATAGCATTACTAAAGGAATGCCCTTTGTTTTTAAAAGCGTGTAGACGTAGAAATACCCATAGGTGTATTTAAATGGAGTCAAAGCTATCTACTGAATTTGTCTATCTACACAAACCAATGCAAACTATGTAATGAGTTTGCAGATTGAAGAGATTGCAACTTTTATGAATATACAAAAAGTCCTCAAACTCAAGTCTAAGTTTTACCTTGGCTAAAAACAGGAAGAGATAGGAGAATATATTTAAACTAGAGAAGCAGATAAATATGTAGTTTCATCAGAAATGCTCGTGAAAGAACTTATAAAGTTAAAACTGAAATCATATATACTGATTACAAAACTTCTTAAACTCCCACAACATGCAACATATACAACAAAACAGCAGTTTGTTGCAGGTTAGTTACACTAGTCTTTTTTTTTTCTTTAAGTGTGGAGAAGACATTATTTCTTTTGAATTTATTTTTTATTCAAAATTATTCTAAAATATTTTTTCTTAATAAATACTGCCTTTCGTTTCTTTTTGAGCAAGTCATTTAAGGTATTATGTTTCCTAGGAATTAGATAGCACACAGGTGGACTTAGAGGAATTTCCCACTTCTACATGGAAGCATAACACTCCTTTAATACCCATATAACTTTATAGTCTTTCTGTTTCTAAGTACTCTCTTTTCTCTGCTATATATGTATGTATGTCTAGAGATATATGTATATTCTAGTGAATACCTAGAAACCCAGTAAAGACTCAGTTTTGTTCACAGTCCTAACTCCATCAGTACCCAGATAGACTAAATGCATTGAACTCAACAAGACTAATGCTACTAAACTGAGCTCTCAAGTTGCATCGTAAGGGCTGCCAAAAAGGTGCTATGAACCGTTATGCAAGAAACTCATCTATAGATTTCCACTGCAATAGAATTAGAAAAGGCTTATGCATTAAAATGAGCTAGAAAACCCTCCTTCCCCAAAGTTGAGTTGCATTTTTTTCCATTTCCTACAATCTTTATTCAATTCCAGCAATCCTTGAACAAAAATTCGTATTAGAACTCAACCATAATTGGAAGCTCAATGTTATACACCATAATTCTGTTACCTCCTTTTGCTCTGGTGATCCTTTCCTCTCTTTGCCTAGGCAAAGTACACTGAGATCCTCAGAGGACAATCCCGATGCTTTACTCCAACTTCCCCTTTGCCTCAGCTGATTTTCTTCCTGAAAATAATCTGTGGATTAGAGTTTGTGCGTGTGTTCTTTTTTTCTCATTTCCAAAGGTGAACAAATTGGAAGAAATGTAAGTTATACAAATCATTTAAAGTAGGGCTCCCTGAGCAACACGAATCATGCAGATGTAATCATTTGGAGTACCTGACTCTACCTAAGGATAGAAAGAGGGAACATTTTCTTCATAGGCCTACAACAAAACAAGGAATTAATAATTCAATGAAGTCCAATCCATTGCCTAGGGAAGTTAAGTGAGATTTTTTTCATATGGATTAAGATGGATATTTGAGGTAGGAAAATTTGGAAACAGAAAGGGGGCATTCTATGATTAAAATAGAATTGAAAATTCTGTAGAAAACAAAGAAATAGGATTATTTATGCTGCCATATAAAAATCATTAACTTAATAGATCCATCCCATGTTTACCCCTTCCACCTTGTTCTAAGAGTTACTATATCCTATCTGCTGCAAACATAAAAGACAAAGAATGGACCACAGAGAGGAAAGAGTTTGCATTACAGTACTGTGATATGTCTTTTATGTAGTAATTATGTTTGTGGTCTGTCATGTTAATAATGCCCAAAGAGGTTAAAAAATTACAAATTCACAAAGGACTGCTGCAGTTATCTATCAACACCCTACAAACTATGCAGTTATCTACGCATAATACAGCATGTATTCCAGCAACTCTTGCAGCAAACCCAACGGTTTATGGTCTTTCTTATAAAATGAAATAATCTTGATTTTAGAAGGTTTCAAGTGATCAAAATATCTGCCCTCTAATGATTTGTATTTTTGATTCTATTTCAGAATTTTGTAACTATCTGGAAATGGATATGCACATAACATCTTATTCTGCTAGGGACAGTTTTCTAAGATACAAGCATCCTTTGATATATATTGTACTCTGGTATCCAAATACAAATAGACTTATTACTTTTTTGTTGTATTCTGTGTCTGTAAATGTGCTCAGCTTATCATCTTCTTCAAAACCCTCGCTGGTATTCTCTGCCTCAGCAATAGGGACACAAACAAATACATTGGGATTGTTAATAAAATCTTCGAGACTGGAGTATTTGTCCCCATTTTTCTCAACTCCTTCACTACTATAATTCTCATTACAATGTGTTCCTTTTGTTCCAAAATGAAGCTGGTTCTGGGCAGTCAATTTAATTTTCTTTCCATGTGCTTTTTTCAGATGCTTGAGTTTTCTGCAACAGTTATCCCACATAATGCTCTTTACAAGGTGAAATCCCTTGTGAATCCGAGCAAAGGCAATCCGAAGATTATTCATCTCTCCATCATCATCTGTTGTCTGGAGAGAGTCAGTGCTGAAGGAATTCAATAATAGCGCAATGAACAGGTTGAGAACCTGAAAGTCATTGAAATAATAGTAATAAAAGATCATCAGAATATAATTCAGAAATCTAAAATCTTATTTCAAAGAATACAGCTGCTATCAAAGCTTAGTCTTACTGAACAAACAAGGTAAAATAAAGAAATGACTATGATCACATTATTGTCGATGAGACAGACTTATCTCTCGGAGTGCTTTATGCTACCATAACACCTTCCACACCAGAAATATTTAAAATAGTAGCTAAGACTGATCTGTGCATATAAATTGCCAATATTTAACACAAACAACTTTTCAAAGATTTAATAGTAGCAAAGACTATGGACATGGCCAGTTAGGTTAATCATGTTGCTTATCTATCAAATCTATCAAATCTGTAACACTGTCACAAAATTAAAGCCAAGTTTCCCAAATCAAGATTTCTTCCCGCTTTTGAATATATTAAGAAATATAAATGTATTTTTTCTTTTTTTTTTTTTTTTAATTAGCAAGGGGCACATGGAAGGCAGGTTTCAAGTTTTTCTTAAGTTCTGAGTTATTTTAAATCGTATTCCCATTTAGGATGGGATTCACATAGCTCAACTTCTATAATGATAGAATTGGGCAGCAGGAATGCCTTCATTCTCTGTTTGGTGAAGAATATGAGCCCTACAGAAACCAGTTCTTTATGCATTTTATTTTTTCACCTTTTATGAAAATAATTTAAATCCTTTGATATCGGTCTGTTCATAATAAGAGAGCCTCAGTGAATATCTTAGCCAGAGCCCTTACTAGTGTTCCCAATTAACTTTATGGGACATGATTCTCACTGGCCTTGGTGGGAATGGCTAGCTTAAGCTGTTGTCCTTGGATGGGAATGCATTTAGAGAGGATCATTTACACTTGTGATTAAAGAAAATCCTGATTTCAATGATAGGAGAGTAGATTCTGCTATTTGCCTATCACAAGCTCCATACTTAGAAGATCTTAAACAAAACTCAGATTTTGATTTGTAAAGGGATTTATGACTTAATTAATTCAAAGAGGTAAGCCTTAAACTTTAGTGATTATTTACATCTAGATGCTGACAGATGAAGGAAAATAGTTGCCTCTGTTATTTCAATTGGCAAGTTATTTATAACTAAATTCCATGTCACGTCACACGAAAGAGTTGGTGATGATGTACACAAAGCAATTCACTGAAAATATGAACAGAAGCTCAGGGTTGAAAGGTAAAAGAGTCTTTTGTAAACCATAATGACTGATATATGTCTTCTACCTCTGTTTTGGAGAACTACTCTTTATTAATAGAAAACCAGTTAAGTATATTCTACTATTCACAACATAAAGAGAGGAAAAATATCAAAAACTCACCACCAAATTTCCTATCACCATGACCAGCAAAAAGACAAGGAGACACAAGGGTTTTCCAGCTACCACCATGCAATCCCACATGGTCTCAATCCATTCTCCACACAAAATTCGGAAAATTATGAGGAATGAGTGGAAAAAGTCCATCATATGCCAACGTGGTTTGCCATTTTTAGCTATTTTATCACAGTTGTCCCCATAGCTTCTCCCAAAAAGTTGCACCCCTACTATAGCAAAAATAAAAACTATGATTGCCAAGACGAGGGTCAGATTACTCAGTGCACCCATTGAGTTACCAATGATTTTAATAAGAGTATTTAAAGTTGGCCAGGACTTTGCCAGTTTGAAGACCCTTAGCTGTGTAAAAAAGATAAAGCATAACGTTAGATATCAGTGGAGACAAACCATCTTTGTACCATTCAAAATCTGCAATAAAACACTTTATAAACATTCTGAAATATTCCAAGAACATAAAGTGTATATCACTGTGACACCAAAGTGTGACTAACATAGTATATCTATGAATTTGTGTCCATGTTTTCATGGACATGTATCTATGAAATTGTGTCCATGTTCTGCCTTTTGGAAATACAACTCAAGTGTCCAAATCATCCCATATTATATAATCCAAATAACTTCTCTTCAATTCGTGCCTGCTTTAAAGTACACTTTTCTCTGTACTTTTATACTTTTTTCCTAAGATTTCCTAAGACTGTGCCTCTCCAGATTCTTTAGATTACCTGTCATAGATTTCAAGATCAGTTTCATAAGATCTCTAATCTTTTTTCTCTGAAAATTTCTCACTATATTCAAAGAAAATGCACATAACATTAAAGTTTGAAAATGCACATAACATTAAAGTTTGACTCTAACAACCTAATATGTTTAACAATAATTGCAGACCACAGAGAAAACTTCTCTATGATACTCATAACATAAAGTTTTATACAATTGAGTCAGCATGAGGCATTACCAGTCTGAAGGATCGTAAAACTGTCACGGTTCCTCCTTTTCTCCTTTCTTTCTTGCTCTTGTGTTTGGGAAGACTCAGTTCAATTAAACTCAGTGTGACAATTACACAGTCAAAAATATTCCAGGGCTGCTGAAAATAATAATAGGGATCTAAAGCAATGATTTTCAAGATCATTTCTGCAGTGAAGATTCCTGTAAAAATCTGTGACAAAGAGATAGTAAACAGCATCAGCATAAGAGTTGCCATGAATATATCTAATCTTTAGATCCTGTTCCTACAAAGACAGTAATAGTCATGGGCAGGTCAACAAAATCTACTTTTATTAACTTTTAATGCACTTAAAATGAGAGGCTTGTTTTCTGCTTTCTCGGGAGTGCCCGTTAAAAATGCATCAACAAAATTGGGGAATTGCACAGGTCAGAAATTCAGAGTTCATAAGCTTAGATTTTGCTGATCTTTCATTTTTAAAGTTATTCTTTTTGACTCAAGTAAAAATAGCCATCAATCAGTCCTGATATAAAATGCCACATATCTGAGAATTTGCTTACCAAGTTGCCTACATTAAGCATTGATTTAAAATTATTTGACATGTTATTGTGCTCCAGTGCCATGAACAAAGTGTTCATAACGATGCAGACAGTGATGGTGAGATCAATAAAAGGATCCTTTATGAAAGCAGCCACTTTTTTCTTGATTTTCAACCAAAGTGGACAGTAGTCCCAAATAAGATACTTTAAGGCAATTTTTTTCAGGCATGGAGGGCATTTCCACTGGGATTCTTCAAGTTCTAAAAATAAAAGAAAGCCCAATAATAATTAAATAATTATCACAGAGAAATGTGGTGAAATAATTGATGAATAATGTGGTGCAATAACAACAAGTAATCAAAACTTGAAAGAAAAGAAGCCAGAGCCACAGGCTTGAAACGTAACACAAGAGAAATTCCTTCCACCCACCATCACTCCTTCTCACTTCATGGTTCGCCGTACAAAACAAGATCTTATGATGCACAGGATGTGTTCAAGTACATAAAGACTGTGCTTATAATGCATTAAAAAAGAAAGAAAAAAAAAAAAGATGAATTAAGGATGAAATTCCTAACTGCACCTCTCCAGATTCTCTGTTAACCTTTAAGAAATGTATTGACATTTTGGTCTTTCACACTAACATTACCTTAGGATTGCAATAAACATAATGAGGAGGCACTTACCCTCCAAGACACTGGTAATTATGCTGACTGCACTCGCTGCCCTTTGTCTTTGAAGTGCCTCATTATAGTGCTCCACTGACAAATGAGGAGATAAATGCATCATGCTGTTCTCCTCATTTACATCTGGCTGCTTGGAGAAGTAAACATGATTAGGAAGATATCACAGGAACAAAATGAAGTAGGATGCGATGATGAGTTACTATGAAAGTTAATAGGTATGATGACAGGTAGCCAAATAAATATGGGTTTTTTTTTCCCATGGTAATTGAAATGTAAGGAATGTAGCTGTAATGGAATGAAGGTCCTGCTCTTCAGTGGTAATGCTGCAGTAAACTTAGCTCTTAGCTAATAGAAACAGGACAAACTTAGGAATGAGGAGAAATATCCCCAGCAAATATTTCAGAAGCTAACAGAACAAGAGAGAGCTGAGGGATAATCATGGTAAACAAACATCTCTACCTGCATGGAGAACGTACAGATAAAGATTCTGCATGAAGCTAAGGGTGCAATGAAAGAGAAGGGAAATACTGGTACTGTCCCAAAGGATCCCCTACCAAGACATGCAATAAAAAACCTCTTTGGTGACCATTATAATTCCAGCACTAGAAACTTTTAAAAATCATGCAAGGCTGAAAAACAAGAGTTTATGATAGAAATGCTGATGCAATGAACTCTAGCTTTTGGGAACCTCTCTGATCAGTATCACTGCTGGTGTCCAACAAGTGGCAACTCTCCCTAGACAGTAGCATTGCTATTTTTTGTATCAATTAAATTGTTAAAAATTCATAGATGTGTCAGAAAAAAGAAAACAGCACTTATGGAGAAACCATGATATGAAGCATACATTTAAAATACGGCTTACCATGCCACTCTTTGATGGGTCTTCCATAACTGGTGGGAGTGTCAGCCCTTCCAAAGAAGCTGGATCTAGGCTGTGCACCCTGCCATTACTTCCACCCACCAATGAAATCCCTCCATTGCAATTGTCCACGTTGATCCACTTGCTGCTGCTCTGCAGGCTGTATGGGGTAGCGGAGTGAGAACTGTGGCTTACTTGGCTTTGCAGGCTGGAGCGCCTTCCCATCTGCGTGACCGACAGCGACCGACCCTGCATTTCATTTTCTCCAGCACTGCGGGTCTCCTCGTCACCAAGATCAGCTTTGGTAGTGGGCATTTGGAAATTAAACACGCTGCCATGGCTAAACCTGCGATTCACCCAATTTGTGTTGGTACCATGTACCAGGCCAAGGAGAGCCTAAAAGTCCAAAGACAGAATCACAGAATCACAAAGTGGTTGAGGTTGGAAGAGACCTCTGGAGATCATCTAGTGCAGACCCCCGGCACAAGCAGGGACACCCAGGACATGTTGTCCAGGATTGTGTCCAGGTTTCGAAGATCTCCAGAGAAGAAGACTCCACAACCTCTGTGGACAACCTGCTCCAGGACTCTCTCATCCTTACAGTGAAGAATTATTTCTTCATGTTCAGACAGACCTTCCTGTGTCTTAGCTTGCAATTGTCACCGAAAATAGTCTGTCTCCATATTTATCACACACTCCATTCAGATATCTGTACACAATGATAAGATTCCCTCTCAGTCTATCTTCTCTGAGTTAATCACATCCAGCTCTCAGCCTTTCCTTATTGGAGAGATGCTTCAGTCTTCTAATTACTTTCATAACCCTATCCTGAGTTCTTTCCAGAGGGAATAAGGAATTCCCTTCCCAAAGAACAGAATAAAGAAAGAAGGGAATAATATCACAGAAAATAGTTTAGAAAACAGTATTTTTTTAAATGTATTTTATAACATTTCCTATCAACCCCTTCAAATCCAAACTCTTATTTAATTCACATCATTCAGGTAGTATTTTATTTATTTTTTAAAAGGTAAATAATACAGTTTTTATTATAAACCTTGTTTATAGGCTTTATTATAAGCCTATGGTTTTTTTTTTTACAAATAATGATAGCATATAATTACAACTAAGTTATGATACCAGATCACTTTCTTGCCTGTTTCTTAGCAATACAGAAAATATATTACAACATTTGTTATAACTCTTCTTCCACCTATAATATTTACCTTTCAAATGAAATTTTACTTATTATGTTTTCTCATCCCTAAAGCTTGTTTATTTTAAAGGCTCAATCATTATAACAGGATTTGGTCTGTGCTTTCAAGCAACCTATTTTAGAATAAAAACTGTCAGATGTAAGGATCTCAGATTCAAACAATAGATTACCAACTTTCGTTGACTGTCTGTGCCTTGTGACTTGGGAAATTGCTCTTCTTCACAATCTTCTATCCCCAGGGACTTATTTCTCTTTTTCCTATTTCTTCTTTCTTTGATTTCTTTAGGTGACAAAGAGACTTCAAAGGAGCTAATCGACATGATATCAATTCCTCTAATGGCCAGCGACTGAAATTAAAGGAAAAACAGATTAAATTCTTGTTGTGTAATTAGAATATATTAGAATATAAGCAGAGAGAAAACACTTGTGTACTCTGTATTTTTCTTCCTAACAATTTAGGTTTCACAACACTCATTAACAATCTTCTAATATACCATGGGTTTTACAAGGAGAGGAGAGAATCTCCACAACACACAGATCACCAAAAAGCTTGTTATTTGCAGTATGTTATGTGATCACATATATTGTTCCTACCGGGACAAAACAATCATGTTATAGCTTCTATTCTCTCATTTGGCAGTTTTGCTTATAATAAAAACAGTCATTTGGAAAATGATGCTGCAGATCATATTTTTCCCCCACCCCCCAAAAAAATGCTTAATCAGTGTCCAAATTCAATGTTCTCCCTGGGAGAGAGTCCCTTTAGGATGGTATTCACACTATAGCTGACCTATGTTGGATTAGAGCAGTGTTTTCAAGACACAGAGCAGTATTGCCTTCCAGGAGCCTCTAAGCCATTAAAGTTACTGATGGAGGTTTTACCCATCTACCATAGGCTTTGGCTCAGGTGTCAATGGAACTGATTAACTGAATTTCTGAATTCTCTGCTCAGCAATCTACAAGGATGGAGTAGTAGAAAAATAAATAAAATAAAATAAAATAAAATAAAATAAAATAAAATAAAATAAAATAAAATAAAATAAAATAAAATAAAATAAAATAAAAAATAAATCTCACATCATCTTTTGTAAACTACTAGCTGATGGAATTCTATCTTCTAGACCTTCTAGATTTTAAAATGTTACTTTGCTTGCAGTAAGAGATCTTTTAAAGCTCATTATCCACAACAAAATTTCATTGCTTCACAGGAAATTTTCAGAGCTGAACAAGCTGTTGCTCCTATTGCTCCAGGAATCACTACTTTTAGTAAGATATCAGTTGCTCCTCTTGCTATTAGTGACTACTCTATACTGTTTCTCACAAGAAGAGAATGACCTTTTTTTCTTATATAACTATTAACCATGCACCAAGTCTACTGTTTCTAAATTTTTTTACTTTCCTACCTCTTGGTCTTTCTGTATTAATTCCATGGCCTCCCGAAATTTCCTTTCCTTTGCCTCAGTTTCAGCAATGGTGGCCTTGTTCTGGTCTTCATATGCCATCGTTACCACTGCCAGAATCAAGTTGACTAGATAAAATGAGCCCAGAAAGATGACCAGCATAAAGAAGAGTATATAGACCTTCCCAGAAGCTCTGAGCGTCTGCAAGCACAACATCCCGGAGATAAAAATTACCAGATAAAATACCAAATAGTTTTTCAAAGTGTGCTTGAAATGCTTTTTGAAGTATTTCTCTTACTAGGAAAAAAAATAAAAATAAAAAAAAAAAAAAGAGAGAGAGATAAAGCTTAAATAGGAATAGATCCTTCTTGGGCTTTTTCCACCCATTTTCTCCCACTCCCTTTGCCTGCGAGTCCCCATCCTGCAAGGATGTCTCCATCCTGCGAGTCTCCATCCTGCAAGGACAGCTATGTTCCTGGGGGTGACAGCACTGCTGTATTTCTGCAGGACAACCCAGAGCTGTGTGAAGTCTCCAAGACAATGGGATAACAGGAGTTATTGGGAATATTGGGTATTGGGAAGCCCTTATGCCTTTTTCAAGGAGTCTGGTAAAGGCTAGAAGTAGAAGGACGGATACGGTCTCCACGACTTGCAGCTACTGCTGTTATTTGGATCCTTTCTAAGGCTTTTCCTTCCTGGCTCTTACCCAACCCAGCGCATCCGTTCTGCACCATATGGAGCTGGTACCTGCTGATAGAGGCGCTCCCAGCAGTCCTGTGTCATCAGCCGGAATAAGGAGAGAAAGGCCCAGCCAAATGTGTCAAAACTGGTGAAACCGTAATCAGGATTTGAACCAATTTTCTTGCATATAAATCCTGAAGGACAGGTCCTACAGGCAGCAATAGAAACTTCTTTTAACCACGCGCATTTCAAGAAAAACAACTTCATCTCACCTGAGAGCTCAGTTACTGTTCACTTATGCATTTTACTACTCTGAAAGCCCATTTTCTGCTCTCCCCACCTACTCCAAGCACTATTTGATGGGAAAGAAGGAAGTGGCACCTACTTTTCAGCATCAGAAAGGACACAACAGGCTGGATGGAGAAGGAGGGAGAGGAGAGGGGAGGCCCTTGCCACTGACTTTCCCTCATCTCCAAGTCCTCACACTCACTGCCTCTCACTGAAAAGTGCCCAAAGTGCACAAAAAAAGTGCCAAATCTACTGGAATGGCTTGAAGGAATTTAGGCCTGAATAAGCCAACTGCAGTTTCATGCTTCACTTTCTACCCGTATTGAGTTATCTTATTTTTTTGCTAGGTTTTGTTGCCTTTGCTCTTATTTCTGCTGTCAAAGAAAGTGTAGATTTTATGTTGTATTTCTCTCTTATAGCTGAGCAAGCACAGAAGCAGTGAAGCAGAGGTGATTTCAAAACATAAAATATTCTTAAGTGCACTTACCCAGCACCAGAACCACATAGTAAAATATCTGGGGTGCCTTCCTTCTTAGCGAAGTTCTCTATATGGGGAAAAAAAAAAGAAAAAAAAGTTAAAAAAAAAAAAAAAAAGGTAAGTAAAATCAAAGCATTTTTCTAATAGCCAGTGACCTGTGAGTCGATGTGTATATGCATGCAAATTGCTGCAGAGCAAATATGAAATGAACATTAAGGGACGGAAGACAGGTTTCCTGCTCCTGCAGTGACTGGAATATATGCCAAAATGTCCTGTCTACATTATACATATGCATATGCACAAGAATACATCTCAGCTTTAGGCAGTCTTCAAAATAGAGCATTGGAAAAATATTTTCCATTTTGGCCACATGTGCGTGAAGAAATTCGATCAGGAGACGACACAGGCTCAAGCACCATCCCACACCAGCTTAGTGTCTTAGTTTTGGGGTGGACTGGGTCTAAACAGTGTCATGCCATGGTTGATATCACCGTATGGTTTATATCTACATGGTTCGTGTCCATGCTGAGCCAGATAAGAGATCTTAGCTCCATTAAGAGATCTTAGCTCCATTTCATTGGCAAGTGCAGATGTGCCCATTCAGATGCTGGAACTGTGCCCTTTCCGGCATCTTCCCTGAGTCTTATTTTTTTTTTCTTTTTTGCATGAGTTTTTCTGATGATGTCTGAGCTAGTACCAGACCAAAAGTAATAGCTCCAGTGCCATTAGCCTCATAAAAATGTAGTTTTATTATCTCAGATGTAAGGCTGGTCTTGTGGCTTCCTGGTGCTTCCCAAATTTAACCAAGTCCAGAGCAGAGTGGGCATAATATCTTGCCATACCATATAGTGTAAATACTAAGAAGGAATCACTATCAGGGCTCTTTTCTAGCAAAATTTTGTTTGGCTTTGCTCCTACAAACTCAAAAAATGCCTTTTAAAGAAGATTGAGCAGGAAAGCATCAGAGAGATGAAAACTTAATAATTATTTCCTCATATCTCATTTATATAAAGACTTTTTTTCTCCTGGTCTGTCAGGTTATTAAAGAAATATGAACAAATCTTCCTCATTCAGTGCATACCAACAGCAATCCTATAGGTCTACTTTATATGTTTCTCTGGAAAAACACTTTGTTCCCTATACAATCTATAACAATATATATGTATAACAAATATATATAAAAGATATTAACTATATATCACATCTATAAGATACATATGATGTGAAGAAAAAAAAGTAATTTAACTGAATTTTAACCAAACTCCTCTCTTTTAATCTACAGAGGCATATTCCTGTCTTTTAATCTGTAGAGTGCCTAACAGAGCAGCAAAATGGAGATGTTTAAAGCTCCTCAGCATGGAATAAAAGCCGAACTTTGGGGAATTACATCAGATAATGAGTTAATGCATGTTGCAATTCTCATTACATTGTTCTGGGAAATAGAATTGGACATTATTGCAAACTTTGGGGATATGATTTCTTATAATGAAGGGGAGAGAAGTATTCCTGGATGCTTGCAAGTTTTTATATCAATCTGAAGAGCAATATCATGCTCAGAATCATAGAATCATAGAATGCTCAAGGTTGCAAGGGACCTCAGAGGTCATCGAGTCCAACCCCCCTGCTCATGCAGGGTCACCTAGAGCACGTGGCACAGGGCTGCATCCAAGCGGGTTTTAAAGATCTCCAAAGAAGGAGACTCCACAACCTCTCTGGGCAACCTGTTCCAGTGCTTTGTCACCCTCACAGTGAAGAAATGCTTCCTTAAGTTCCTGTGGAACTTCCGATGCTTCAGTTTTTAGCCATTTCCTCTAGTCCTATCACTGTCCACCACTGAGAAGAGGCCAGACCCCTCCTCCTCACTGCCTCCCTTGAGGTATTTATACACGCTGATCAGGTCCCCCCTCAGCCTCCTCTTCTCCAGGCTGAACAGGCCCAGCTCCCTCAGCCTTTGCTCATAGGGCAGATGTTCCAGGCCCCTGATCATCCTGGTAGCCCTGCGCTGGACTCTCTCCAGCAGTTCCACATCCCTCTTGTACTGGGGAGCCCAGAACTGGACGCAGTACTCCAGATGTGGCCTCACCAGGGCTGAGTAGAGGGGGATGATCACTTCCCTCGACCTGCTGGAGATGCTTTTCTTAATGCACCCCAGGATCCCGTTGGCCTTCTTGGCCACCAGGGCACACTGCTGCCTCATGGTCAACTTGTCGTTCACCACGACACCCAGGTCCCTCTCTGCAGGGCTGCTCTCAGATAGCAATTCATTCAAATACTCATTGCAGTTTGCAACAGGTGTTCACACGTGCATGCAGGTACATGTAGAGTGTCCTACTAAAAAGTGCAAAGAAGAAAAATCACCTGTATCATTAATAAACATTTCAAAGGAGTCCCATGTTCTGTCATCGGCATAAACAGTTTCATTGATCTTTGTGTGGTTCCTGATACACTTTTGTCTCAGGTTTCCCTTAAAAAGCTGGAGGCCAATGAGGGCAAAGACACTCAGGCAGAAAACTGTCAGGATCATCACATCAGCAAGTTTCTTTACAGACTGGATGAGAGCACCTACAATGATCTTGAGTCCTAGGGAGAAAACAGACTGAAAAACTGAGCTTTGCACGTGACATTTGTGTAGTTTGAAGGAGTGAGGGGCTAACAGGATTTTTTCCTCTTTTGATTGACCATGCCACATTCAGGGTGATACAGGAGTTCCTTTCTTCCCTGGAATACATCTATGCAAGGTTGAGGGACCAGTCTGTTTTACTTATTCAGAAAATGGAATACGTGTAATTCAAATGAAATTTCTAATACTGATAGCTTTTGGCAAAACTATGATCTCTGGAAAGAGTATACATGATCAAAAACACCAGAAAGAGAACAAGAGTAAACCAGACTTTCTTAATTTGTAATCTTTAAAATTAACAATTAATTTTTTTTAAAAACTGTTTCTATATATAAGAATACAAGATTGGTTCTATTTTTTTGATTTATTCTGTGTCTTCAATAAATAAAATTAGAGATAAAAAGAAATAAAAAGGAAGGAAAAGCAAAGCTGATAATTTCGATTGGAAGAAATAATAATCACAACTAGCACAAATTATTCAACAAATTATTCAACAAATGAAATGGTAGTTCCTTACCTGGAACTACGGAAATAGTTTTTAAAGCTCTTAAAACTCTAAATGTCCTAAGGACTGACACACTCCCCAGGTTACTAAATGCTCCCACATATCTGCAAAATCAAGACAGGACATGTCAGGCTGTGGAACTGAGTAAATGGTGATCATTCTTAACTGTTAAGCCTTCTCAATATATTTTAAACATTAATAAACTTGTAAGGATTTTTCTGAAGTTCTATAAAATTGCTTATTATAACTTCCTTATAAAGTAGTCTTTGGTCTGTGCACAACTGATTTTGTGTCAGTGTCTTAAAATGCCATGCACTTAAAATATAACCAAATATGAACAAAATTACTCAAAATTATCCGTTGCAGTCAGAGGTTGAAACACTTCCTGAGATGCGTTTGCTTCCATCTCCCTTATGTATCTGGCTGTAACCAGTAGAAAGACTCCAATTTTTGCAAACTGAAGCTCAAACTATGATTTTAGATATAGGGAAATCATATTTAAGCCAGTATTCTGGTATCTATACATGCTATTTTCTTTTCAAAACTATACTTTCATCAGTTTATCTATCAGTATATCCATATTTGATGGCATTGCTATTACATCACACAGACTGAAATGCAGCCCATGTAAAAGGACCATTGGGTGATTTGCAATGGGATTGAACAGATTAACCAGAGTTTGATCTGCAAAATGTCCTTTTCAGATACATTATGACCCACAAACGTGCTATGTGCTCTGCACATGCAGGCTGCCTCTGACAGCTGCATTAAAAACTTTAGCACAGAAGAAACAGAGCACAAGTAATCTATATTTCATATATCCCCACTTACGCCATAACGATAACACTGAAATCCAACCAGTTCCATGGATCGCGAAGGAAAGTGAATTCATTTAGGCAGAATCCTCTTGCCAATATTTTAATCAATGATTCAAAAGTGTAAATGCTAGTGAAAGTGAATCTAAGGGAGAAAAGGCACAAAGAAAAACAGCAGCGTTAGCAATTAAGGGAAGAAGACAAGAGACATAGACAGACTATTCATTGTCTAGGACAAGGAACCAGAGAATTAATGGGAAGACTCCTATTGATTTAGGGTTCTTCATCAGTATCTGACTAGCATGTAATTTGAGATACCTGCTGAAAACTATCTAGATATGGCTATTAACATGAAAACCAAAGATAGACTTTTTTTTTGCATTTAACTTCTTTTTTTTTTTTTTTTTCTCTCTAAAGCTTTCATGTCAATCCCATTCTCTGAGAAACACAAATTTTCTGGACACTTGTTAGAAAAATGATTGAAATTCCCACCTTCCTCTGGTTTCAAGTGGCCAAGCAAATGTGCGATACGCTGTGTGTTATTTACTTGGGACATGCAACCTCCGTTTCAGGGCAGCATATTTAAAACACTTAGCAGTACAGCAGTACAGGATCTTCAATTTAAGATGGCAATTATTCTTATTAATGGAAAATTATTAGTAAAAGCTCTTCTGGACTTATGGAGTGCACTTATCATTTCAACACGACAGAGATCTCCCTGCAGAATTCAAAAGGCCTTCATTTGCTAGTCAGAAAATGCATTAAGAAATTATATGGATGCAGCATTTTCCTTTTCATTTAGAAAGAAATATTCTCAAATTATTACTGAAACACTTTTGAATAGTAGTTTCAAAGCCAATAGCACATACAGCTCTGGTTTACTCATAGGAAGATAGGAAGGCCTTGTAGTGTCAGGTGGAGATACATATGTTAATACCATACCGAGTCTTGTTCCTTTTTAGATGTGAGTTTGCTATACCTAAGCATTTTGGAGTCATGAAATAGATATAATTAAAAACTGATTTTAAAATTACACATTTTGGAATTTTCTCCATTGCCATATATGATAGAATTAGAAGGATTTTTAGTTTAATATTTTTATTGTCATAGTCTAAGAGCCAGAATATACTTTAAAAGAAGTACAAAATTGGCATTATCCAGTTTTAATATGATTCTAAGCACATGGAATTATTCTAATGCAATATATTAAAGTGTTGGCAGGATTCTAACAGAATCCTATAGGCCAGAAGTATCTGAAAGACCATTTTATTAGTGCAAACATTAAGCATTTCAAAATTATTGAAAAGAATTTAAAAAGACAGCAGCTCTTGATATGCTAGACCAGTGTTGACATCCATAGGAAATGTGCCTTGATAAAAATCAAATACTGATGAGTATCATCTTCAGCAATCACACTTTTGTGGAACTTAACCTATTCTCAGTTTCTTCTATAAATCCAAAATTATTACAAATTGAACAATTGGATTTAAAGAAAAAAAAAAAAAAAAAAGGAAAAACACAGACACACACACACAAAAAATCCACTCTATCCCTCACAGCAGGAAATGCTGAAATCCTAAGCCAAGAAAATTCTCTACAAAATCCCCTATAAACTATTTTGCATGAAGACTGAAAGAGATGGCTAACTAATTAATTCAAAATACAGAATTAAAATGCATATATAACCAGGGATACTTACTCAACATACTTGCTCCAAGAAGGAGATTGAGAAGCCCTAGATGACTCAGTCAGAGCCATGAACACGCAGTTAGTTAAAATAGTGCACATAATAAACCAGGTGAATAATGTAAATCACAGGAGTGAAGGCAAAGAATATGACCAAAACCGAAAATGTAGCCAGATTTTGTATCAGTTATAGAGCTCTATATTTAACTGTAAATTTAATTAATTACAAACTCTATAATAATAAATAAATCTAATAATAAAATAAATAATAATAAATAAACCATAAATTTAATTTAGAATTTAAAGGATATAAAAGACCTGTAGCATACGAATTTTGGTTCATATTAGAACATAATACATTACTGTCCTTATTTTTAACAGCTAGACTGCAATACAGACTAGACACTGTAAATTTGATAAACTTGTCCCTAAAACCTCGTTTTTTTAGGTAAACTAGTGTTGATAAAGTGTCAGGGAATGGATGCATTTTTAGTTTCATTTTCTAGCAAGGGAACTGTTAAAAAGGGACTGTCTTGTTTATTTAAGGCCTCAGAAAAATTTGTAATAGAACCGGGAATTAAACTCTGCTATCAAATAGTCTAAAATGCAGCTTTCCTTGTATCAAAAAAAAAAAAAAAAAAAAAAAAGGCAAGTTCATAGGCCTAAAACACATTTCACTGAGCTCTTTCTGCCGACCTTGTCTTTCACTTATCTGGGCCATTTCTGGATTTTTATATGCAGTTAATTTCTGAACTTTTCAGTGTCTGGACTGAAAATTTTCAGGCAACACTTTGATCACTACTAGCATATAAAATGTGTTTAAAGTCATATACTCATTATTAAATTTCAAGGTTAGTATATTTATTTATAATCTATCTATATATAAAGTGTGTGCATATGTATGAATGTGTATATGTATGTATACACATATATAAATATGCATTTACTTGCATAAACATAAGTGCCAGAAGAGTTGAATAACTTGCCCAAGGATACACCCAACTTTCTCTCTTGGGAAACCTGTGGTCTTCTGAGGGGCCAGTAGGAGGTCTGCTGAGATACTTGTAGGCCTCCTGAAAGTCACTTCTGTCTAGACACCTTCAGTGGCTGTCTGGAGGCTTTCTGGGCTCCTCTGAGCTCATGGGACTAGTGGGAATGTTGGCATCTAGTTCATGTGTGCACACCTAAGCCTAGTTGTGTTGCCCTGGAGCCAATTCTTGCTCCTCACGTCATACAGCAGGAGTTTTGGCAATCCAGGAGGTTGAGGTGCATGTGAAGGAACCCTACTCTTTCCCTTATTTGCCCTGTCCAACCCCAAAAGACCTCTTGGCTCCAAATGTAGGCTCTTTCAAAGAGCATATGCATTGCATATGCAGGGCCTGTACCACAAGCAGAGGTACTAACTACATCCATCTTGCCATGCAGGGCAAGTTCTCAAGAAGACATCTCACTGCCTTCTATGAAGACAACCCAGAGTCATCACAGCTTGCTCCAGGCACATGGTCGTTTCCAGTTCTTTCATGTGTGAGGAGGGAACTCTATTAACTTTTATTTTCAAAGACATCCTTCCTCCCTACAAGAACATCCTTGAACATTTTCTGTTTCTTATACCAAAGATATACTTTTCAAGCAGGTTTCCTAAAATAACTAAGCTCATTAAATTGTGCTTTCTCTGTGTGTTTGTGTGTGGGATGTCTCAGTCTGTTATTCTTGAATTGCCCAGTGGTTGATTAATACTGACATAGCTGATGCAAAAGCAGAGATTTAATCCCAAGATTTTGGGTAAACAGAGGATGAGATAGAGGATGGGAACCTTATTATTTTTCTTACTGAAAAAAAACTTTCAGATAAAGTATCTCTTTATGAGACATCAAACAGTCAATATAAAAGCTGATTTTTGAAACACAAATCTGTAGAAAGTCAGTCTTCATCACTCCCAATACCCACAACACTGTTTAATTAGAACAAGAGCAGAAGAAAATAATAATTTCTAAGTTCATTCATAATCAGCAGTTATTTGGAGTGAGGAAGACACTAGATACATTCAATTCCATAAAATATAGTAGCATAGTATTATATAAGTTTTTGTAATAAAAAATAATACTGATTAAAAAAAAAAAAAAAGAAGCCAACAAAAAGGATATGAATGTACTAAAATTTTAATTGCTGTTCTTCGGAGTGGATGGAAAGGGCTCAGGATCCATAAGGCACGTGTAGCAGTAAATCTGAAGATTGTTTTCTGTTTGTTCAGCACTATGAAAATCTTAAAAAAAAATAAACATACATTAAAGCTTTCCAGAAGCTGAAGAGCAAACACACTTTTAATAAATATGTATTTAATAAATAATCTACAAAATGATTATATTTTCTCATAGAGTTTTCTGAAAATCTCTTTTTATTCCTTTGTAAGCTTTATTTATTTATAACCTGCTTTTTTGTAACTAATTAGAGAAACTGCTTGTATGGTTATAACACTCCAAAATTTCAAACATTTTTTTTTGTGGAAAATAGATAAGTTATACTTACACATGGACAAAAAGGTTCTTCCTTGAAGTTATATAAATAAATATATATGCAATATTTCATAATTAAGATCACTAAATATTTGCAACACTAATGGGAGCAAGCTAATAAAGTGATCAAGATGCTGTTTATAATAGAGCAGCTTTCAGTCAGCTGCACTTGGCCTAGCACAGTTATAGCTTGCAATATCCTTTTGATCTAAACTACACTGGAGATTTCCGTGTAAGTGTGAAACAGGTATTTTTTATCCTGAGCCCAGTTTTGCAATTGTTTTCAATGCCATCCATCTAGCAGATTCTGCAACTTTGAGCACCTCTCCAGACTCAGTGAAGTCAAGTGCCTTCTTTACTATAATCTTAAGAGCAACGATTAAGAGCAAAGTTTTTTAAAGGAGATATGAACTATCCTGTTTTAATAAAACATACCTTAAACATTCCTTAGCAGCACAATAAAATAAATTCCGAACAATATGGTTGACACTAACCTTGCGATCTTTGTAGTAGGGATCAAGGTCTTCTAGTGGTTCCCCAATGAGCTCTGGTGGAGGATTTCCATAGAGAGCAGGTAACTTCTGGAAAGCTTTTAGGTCCAGTTGAGGACGTGTTTTTTCTTTGAGTTTCTGGTCTGCAGTATTTTTTTGACAACTCTTTTTGGCAGCAATTCTCTTTTCAATAGCAGCCAAGGATTCAAAGGTGAATTTACGGAAGTTGTTGGTACCAGGAAATAAAAACTCAGCCATTTTTCATTCTTCTCTTCCCTTCATTGATTCAATCCAAAAAGTGGAAACAACAAAAAAGGAAATCAAGATTCCAAAACAGGTAAGCTATGAAAATTAAACGACTGTTTTTGACTTTGTATATTTAATAACCACTTAAGTTTTTTGAGCCATCAGATCCTAGGAAAATTAAAAATAATATGAGCTATAGATTTTTCAATGAGATGCCTATTCAGATATTTTTAATTGCATGTTGTTGAAAGGATGTGAGCAGATCTCTAGAACTTTCAGCTATATAAACCACCTTATTTAGCCTTACACTACTTGATAGAAAACCAATCCTGGTGGTACTTGGAAGTGAGCACAGGAATGAGCACTTTCCATTTGCCAGAAAAAAAGGGCTACTGTAAGCAGAATGGTGCTTGAGACTATAATACTATATAGCTTCCTCGGAAAGATGATTTTTGCTGTAATCCCATTCAGTACTGCTTGGTGCATGACGCTACCAAGAGAAAAGACATCCTGATGCTGCAAAGAGATCAAGACTTCTTGACTTCAGCTTCTTCTTAGCTATAGATTTTCACTATTTGAGGGGATGACCTGAAGAACAAGAAAGACTACTCACAAACTAACTGCAGTAAAAACACTTGTTTTTTCTATAACCCCTTTAAAAAAGCATACTATATGATAAATACTAAAAATAACCCTCTTTTCAGCACAGAATAGTAATATTTCTGGAGGAGAAAGACATTCAAAAGAGAGAATAAAAGTGTTTCAAGCTTTTCAAAATCTAGCTATATGGCAGGAAATTGTGCATCTCTTGATATTACAGTGAATTGAAAATGATATTATCCACTCACAAGTATTCAAGTTTAAAACCATCCAAAGTGGCATTTGCTTTGTTGATGTTCAGAATAATTTAGATGTTGTGGTATCAGTAATGAGAGTTGTGAATGATGCATGAAATGACACAATTTCTGTGCAATGCACAGAGGGAGCATGGTAATTGCTCTACCGCTGTTTGTGCCAAAGCAGCCACAGCTACCCAACCCTCTACAGAGCACTTCCCTAAAAGGCTACCTGAACTCAGAAATTCCCTGTTACATTTCTGATTTTGTAGCAGTTTTTGCTATTTTTTTTCTCTTTATGCCCCAACACTATCTTCCAAATCCCAGAAAAGAAACTTTGATTGTCTTGCTGTTCTCCCCCATGACTATTAACAAGCAAATTTAGGAACCGAAGATGCTGTTGAATAAAGCCTAGGTTAGGGGTTAGGAAGAAGCATGACTGCAAGAAGAGTATACATGTCTTTGGCCAGAGCTGACAGTCATGCACGGAGAGTCATTTCTGATATAGGTCGTTTTATAAATTGTTCTGCCTGTGAACAACCATTAAAGAAAAAATATAAAAGCTTGTACTTGCTGTCACACATGTCAGAAGCAAAATGTCCATTGATAGTTGGAAAAGCAGAGGAGCAGAAGGCTAAATTACACTTTTCATTCACGGGCAATTCTAAGGTACTCAATCTATTCTTGATAGAAGCTAATCATTATGAAACGATAGGTAATCCTGAAAAAAATTCTCCTGGTTCACCCAAGCTTCCTTAAAAATATCCCCCAAGTCATTTCCATTGTTAATAGTCTCAGACAACTTGACAAGTAGAGAGATATAGAAAAAGTGTTAATGGAAAGCCTTTTTTTTTTCACTTGACGTTACAGAAAAACAATGTACATTTTGGGCTTTTTCTCAAATCACAAATTACCTGCAAAATATTTTCTGAAAATGAGATTTTTCTTATCTTTTGACAGATTTAAGACCAGACTGTACTAAATTAAATCTACCTGGTTTAAGAACAGTCAGAAAATCAAAGGAAACACTAGTGATTTGTGATTTTAGCTTTCAAAAATATTTTCTATGAATTATCTCTCAAATATCAAAGTATACATTTCAATTTTTTTAAAGGTTAAATTGCTTTTGTCCAAATATGCTTTCCTTTTTAGGATTTCCTGTTTTGGCAGAATTAATGTCATTATTAATGTCATTTTCTTTCCTTTGCTTGTAATTGCAGTCATCCAAATACAATCAACAACTAATCAATGAGAGATATTCCCAATTACTAGATTTAAAGATTTGTGAGATATTATACATTGACAATTCATTTGATCAGCATGAGCAAGGTAATTAGTATGAGCAGAATGGCTGGAATTACCCTGTCAAATTACTTTTCTTTGTCTTGGATGATTGCAGTTCTTGTCAGTTAAAACCCTCCCTTTGATTCATGGTTTCCATAGTAGACACAGAAATTCTCTTTTAAGTAACTGGAATAAGGACTGTTTGAAGATTGCATGTTAAAAGCTTTGTCTCATTCAATCAAATGAAATGCAATTATTGCCTTCCTGAGTAGTCATAATTTTGCACTCTGCTTTTAGCCAGTGATGCTATGCACTGCAGAGAGGCACAGAGCTGGACAGTCTTGGCTGCACCAACTGTCTGCACCTCCAGTTGCTATGTTGGGAGCCAAGAATATCAGTATGGGACTGTATATGATAAAATAATTGAGGTTGGAAGTGACCTCAAGAGATCTCTAGTTCAACTTACTGTTCAAAGCCAGGTCAGCCCTGAGGTCAGACCAGATTGCTCAGGGCTTTTTCTAGGCAAATATCCAAGGACTGCACAATCTCTTTGGGCAACCTGTCCCAATGTTTCACTGTCCTAATGAGAAGAGGACTTTTGTTATATCCTCTTGTCCTCCCACCATGTATCACTGCTGTAAGAGAAAAAAAAAAAGAAAGAGAAAGAAAAGAAAAGGTAAAATGTTTTGAGAGCTGAAAGATACAATAAAATAATATAAATATTATATAAATTATATAAATGTTAATATATAAATATAAATATAAATATAAATATAAACATAAACATAAACATAAACATAAACATAAACATAAATATAAATATAAATATAAATATAAATATAAATATAAATATAAATATAAATATAAATATAAATATATAAATATTATCAAAAATAATCTATATATGCCAATTAAATGCTATTTCTATTTCATCCCATTTTGTCTACTTATAACAGCCAACTAAAAAAGTTTCACTCTGCTCTGAATAACATTATCCAGTGCAGCTCCGCAGAAGTTACCAAGGGATATTGGCTTTGTGGTTTAACCCATTTTTATATCACACCAATTTGGGTAGGATTCATCTCATTTCAATGCAGATCTCAGAGCTGAAGAGCTGTAGCTCCACTATGTCTCCCAACAACTATTGAGACATCAATTGACCTCTATTCCAGGATGAAATCAGTCACATCTCAAAGACTCAGTCTTTCTCCATCCACAATAAACCGAATCCAAATGGCTAGTCAGATGTAATTGACTGTTTCAAGTTATCAAATATGTCTCAGGTTAGATGAGATCAATCTTTTTGCATCTGTTAAGCCTGTTCTTCTTGCTGACTCAACTAACAGACAAGTGCTAAAAGTTTAGTAGAGTTTGCAAACTTTCAAAGGTTTGTAGTTCTGTAGTCAATGGTAGGGATTGGGAAAACATTAGAGTAATCAGCAGATTGCAAATATATAAAAATTTTAGGATTGCATTATATTGCATCACTTCCTTAATGACTATTCACAAGACCAGTCTTCCTAGCAATTAGTGAAGTGTTAAGTCACATTTTCTTTTGCATAGTAAGAATGGAATAATTTTCAACTTCTTCGATATCATAAATATTTTGAACTTGCACAGAGATCAGTATTTTAAAATACTTAAATTGACAACTTGTCAAGTAGCCAGTTGCGAGGACAAAGGAAACTCTGTCAACCACAGGAAAATGGGAGAATAAAATAGGAAAGACTTTAAAGCCAACAAACTACTCCACTGATGTAGCAGTTATCATGAGGTAGGCCTAGTTAGCATAGCTGTTAGCATAAGCTCATGAAATTTAACTTTTTGCTATTGTAGATGATCAAGTCTGTCCCAAACAACAGAATGAACATTGAACAGTTCTGGCATGCCCAAGGAAATAAGATAGCCAACTATGGAAGCATATCATTTCCAGCAATGTTGCCAAGAAAATTGGCTAGTTTTGAGAGAACATAACACAGAACGGTTGAAGTTGGAAGTGACCTCTGGCATCACCCAGTCCAACCCTAGACCTAAAGACCAGGAGATCACCCAGGATCACCTAAAGCAAGTTCACATAAAGCATGTTGCACATGATCAAGTCCAGATGGCTTTTGAAAACCTTCATGAAAGGAGTCTCTACAGCCTCTCTGGGCAGCCTGTGTTTCTGGACCTTCCTGTGTTTCAATGTGTTCCTGTTGCCTCTTGTCCTACTGCTGGGAATCACTGAAAATAGTCCGTCTCCATCCTCTTAACATCCTCCCTTAAGATATTTGTGTACCCGGGTAAGATCCTCTCTCAGTTTATCTTCTCCAGGGTAACCAGGCTCAGCTCCCTCAGCCTCTTCTCATGTGAAAGATGATCTAGTTCCCTAATCACCTTCATGACCCTATGCTTGACTCTCTGCAGGAGTTTCATGTCCCTCTTATACTGGGGAGCCCAGCCCTGGACACAGCCCTCCAGATGTGGCCTCATCAAGGTTAAGTAGAGGGGGAGGATCTGCTGGTAATTCTCTACAATACTCTAACAAGTCCTCTCTTTACCACGTCCCTGGTTGCAGGGATTACTTCACTCTGAAGAAAACCAAAGGTTAATGGTGGCCTTGGAAAGAGATTAATTACAGTTAAAGTTAATATTGACCCTCAGGAAAGGGAATCTGAATTCCCTTTCTGAGTCACAGAAGTGTGACTTTGAAATGGGTGAAATTAAATGCATTGATGGTCCACATCTGGAATCCCATGTGCATTTTAGCACTATTTCAAGAACAATATAAGCAAGGAGAAAAAGAAAACAAGGGTGGACAGTCAAGATGAGCAGCATTAGTATACATTTTCCATACAAAGAAGGTGTAGATATGACTGTCAACATGGAAAAATAATGTTATTGAGAGAAGAA